ATTCCTCAGCACCACATAAGCAAAAAGAAAAAAGCCGGAAGTGGCGCTGTGGCTCAAGTGGTAGAGCGCTAGCCTTGAGCTGAAGAGCTGAGAGACAGCGCCCAGGCCCAAATTCAGGCCCCACAACCAAACCCATAAAAAAAGGAAGGAAGGAAGGAAGGAGGGAAAAAAGAAAGAAAGAAAGAATAGAAAGAAGCAGCATGGACTACAGGGCCAGGCAGACATCTGTGGTTCCATCTTGGTTTTACTAGAGACTAACTGTGTGAAGTGGAGGTAACTTCTGTGCTCTCCAAGCCCTGATTTCTTTATCTGTGAAATTATAATAAGTTATCTAATAGGGAACATTAAGTCAGATAATATGATAGAGCATCTAACAAATGTTAGTTCTTGATCATCAAATAAGTAAGACACAGAAATGTGGGTCTTCCAGCAAACCCCACTGAGTCTTGGATTTCTTCACACTTGGACTTCTTTTCATCATAGGTAATTTTTTTATGGCTGCGTTTCAGAATGACCTGATTTCTGGATAAGGGAGAGATAATAGAGAGATGAAGGAGGAGACATTTAAGTTCCAAGAATTATCCACAAACTATTTTCCTTCCTCATAGGCAATTTGATTGATTAAAAACTTACTCTGAATGTTTCATCAAAGTCAGAGGCTACAGCAGTCAATTCCAGGGAACTAAATTTTTGGAATTTTATAATGCTTAGGATTGTTTATTTTAGTAAGCTGTAAGTAGTGTGGATCTTGACAGTATCTACATTATACAGATCTCTAACCAGTAACCACAGAGTATAAACAGTAACCTCATATTTCTTGTCCAATGGTATTTTCTTCTTGATCAGTTTTCCTTCCCAGTGGAATCATTAGAACCCTCTGGTGAGGGGTAAGCCTTCTGTGTATTCGTGCTTATGGAAGAGAGGACAGAGCCTGTCTCAGCTTCATGTGACATCATAGTTTCCCTAGACTTCTTCAGAGTTTGTGTTAAATCTAATCCAACATCTGCACTGAGTAGTGAAAGGAAACAATGGCTTTGCTGCTCCTGTACAGTTGCAAAGCACAGATGACTCATTAATGTCATACCGAGTTGAAGACTGTCATATAATACTTTCTGTTGTCAGGATTATTTTGCTTTTAGCTCTCCTCTGAGTAGAAAAAAGTATACTCCACATCTACTTCCATGCCTATCCTTGGCTTTTGGTTCTTTGGGGTTTTCATTCACATTGTAAACATATATAAAATAATTTCAGAAATCTATCATCAGCCCAGGATAGGTCTAGAGTACTTTTATGTTTTCTGTCTCAACCAGCCTGCCCTATACTCTTTGGAAATGAGTTTCTAGGCAATTACTATGACATCCTTTTCTTCCACTTAACAACTTGTAACTGGAGAGACTCAGATAAAAGTAACCATAAGATTAAGGAATTTCAGAGTGTTCTATATCCTACCATATTTAAAGTTTTATGGAGCTTAGAGAAATGCATATATTGAAATAAAATTAAAATAAGAAAAGCTAATGTGGACTGGGCATAGTGGCTTGCACCTGTAATCCCACCTAGTTGGGTAGGAGATAGGAAGTTTGTGGTCTGAGGCTGGCCCAGACAAAAATGTGAGTCTTTGTCTGAAAAATGTGGTCAAGTAGAAGAGTCCCTGATGCCTCAATACTTCAAATAAAAGACAGACAGAGAGGAAGGAGGGAGCAAGGAAGGAAAGAAGGAAGGAAGGCAAGCAGGCAGGCACAAGCAGGCAGGCAAAAACTTCAGGGTGGCTTATGAGCTGGCTGCTGGTGGCTCACACCTGTAATCCTAGCACCTCAGGAGGCTGAGATCTGAGGATCACAGTTTGAAGCCAGCCCAAGCAGAAAAGTCTGTGAGACTCTTTATCGCCAGTAAACTATTCAGAAAATGCTGGAAATGGTGCTGTGATTCAAGTGGTAGAGTACTAACCTTGAGCACAAAGAGGCTCACAGACATTGTCCAGGCCTTGAGTTCAAGCCCATGACCAGCAAAAACAGAGAGAGAGAAAGAGACAGAGACAGAGAGATGAGAGAGACAGAGAGAGAGAAGGGGAGACATGAAATATATACCATAAATTTCTGAACAATTCCTCCTACTAATTGTATGTTGGTTGAATGGAAAAAATGTCAGATGTGTGAACTATTTCTGAATCAACATTGTAAATTAGTGATTGAATCAATGATTATTGACTAGATCTTGTTTATTAATGAATGTGGACTGTACATTTCTCTTATATACTTGGAAGGCTACAAGATCATAGGACTGATAAACAAGAGAACTAGTCTTTTCATTGTAATGTTGCAATGTGGCATCAATTAGATTAGTTCAGCTCAGGTACTTAATGAATAACTTTGTCCATCCCTTAATTAGGCACAATTCAAAGTATGCCTAAATACTACACACAATAATATATATATAACTATTAATGTTGGTCTGACATTTACCTGTGCTGATCGGATTTGCTAATTTAGGGCATCACTTCCTAAGCTGCTTCGTCCTAAGATAACTGTTCCTGTGCTCTTCTCCTTTCAGTGCCCTGGGAGGCTCCTCAGCTCTTCATATTCCTGCTTTTCCAGGAGGAGGATGTCTCATTGACTATGTTCCTCAAATTTGCCACCTGCTCACCAACAAGGTAAATGCAAGTCTCATGACACCTCTTGTCTCTGAGATCCTTTCTTTCATACGCCACATCCCCAGAATGACCCTGAGTGTTCCTACTTCCTCAGGCCATCTTTTACTTTAGCCACCATCTAATATCACTTTATCTGCTTAGAATCACAACCCATCCGTTTCTCCTGCTGTTTCCTTGTTCTCCTCTTCCTTTCTAAGGATCCTGACTTCCACTTGCAGTATTATGTTCATCTTTTTACTTGGTATCTTGAGAATTAAGTCACACACACCCCTTTTTTTTATTTGCTAGTCGTGGGGCTTGAACTCTGGGTCTGGGCACTGTCCCTGAACTCTTCAACTCAAGCGTAGCATTCTACCACTTGAGCTACAGTGCCACTTCCAGTTTTCTGGTGGTTAATTGGAGATAAGAGTCTCATGGACTTTTCCTGCGTGGACTACCTTTGAATTAGGCTCCTCAGATCTCAGCCTCCTGAGTAGCTAGGATTACAGGAGTGAGCATCCAGTTTCCGGCTAAGTCATCCTTTTCTTGAGTTTCCTTTTGTTCCCCAAGTTTTTGCAAAATGTAGCACTTGTGACCCCTTCTTTCCAGATCGTCTGTTACATGCATGCCTATGGATGTACTTGTCACTAGATGCTATCAATATAATTCCTTTTAAAATATTTTTTTATTTTCTTTAAGTAGTTGTACAGAGGAGCTGCCATTTAACAGAGCAGTTTATTAATGCAGTGCTCTTGACGAATGTCAGCCCTTTTAGCATTCTTACCCACCCCTACACATTACCCTCCCCTCGCTTTTCTTAATTTTTAAGTTATTTATTGGATTTCTTTTGTCACTTAACAACGCAATTTATGTATACAATGCAACCGGGTAATTCTTTAAACTGCTTTCATTTCTTCCTGCTTTTCTGAACCTCTCCTTTTAATCAGTCCTTGATTGTTCCTGTCATACCTGAGAGCAAGAATTCCAGATTCATTAGTCTTCTACTCAGCCATATCATATCATCTAAAGCTTTCTCTTAGCTACATGCATGAGCCCATTACAGGTAGCTGAATCTACTATAATGCTAATTGTCAGGTATTTCCAGAAAGCATATGAATGTAGTTAATGTCTAGCCAGAGTGTATAGCTGAAAACTAGAGATATTAATGCACTAGCAACTCTGGCTTTCTTTCCTTTCCCACGTGGACTGTGACTCAGTTTGTTTAATTACCAAAGTACTGTTTTCTTTGTTCCTGTTGACTTGTTCATATTGGCTTGAAAAAAATAGATCTTTTGTTTGTCTCTCATTGGAAAGATACTGCATCTTCATATAGGAAATATTTTTGAAGTGCAATAATATCGCAAAGCCTTCAGTATTATTTTCTAAATGTCAAAGAAACTGAAATCTGGCAACTCTGCAGCTGAGCCTGGCCCAGATTCCAGGGCATTTAGCTCTCATGGAGTGGTGGCTTCTCCTGAGACCAGATTCCCCTAGCTACTACCCTCCTATGAGAATATGCAGAGGACAGAGTCCTTATTTACATTCTGGGGCTTTGCAATGCCTTCAAATCTGTGTCCCAGAATTATAGAGAAAAATGCAAATTGAGTCTTACAGAACTGAGAAGAAAAGCCTTTTTAAAGCTCTCCAATTGAGATTAATTTCTAGTCATACATTTTCCTCAAAAAAAAGTTATAATATCGTTTTCCCGGAAATGTAAGAAGAATCAGTTCATTTTTCTTATCTGGTTCCCTTTCATTAATTTTACTTGTCTTTTGAAATTGGTGTTCTTCTGTTTGCTCTAAACGAGGACAGTATGGGCTGCTTTTAGGAACAATCTCTTCAAATGAATTTCCATAATTACATTGGAATCTATCTTTATAGCCAGTTTTGTTGTGGGTTTCTGTTAAAATGGTTTTCTGTTTTTAAAATCAAGTACACAGAACTGTTTTCATCCCCTTTTCAAACAAAGCCACTTAAGCAAGCTTATCATCTGTTTTTCTTTTCCGAAAATAACATTTCTGAACCTGCATTAAGCTTGCAATGTAAGCACTGTTTTTGTAAATTGACATAAACCCCTATTTTATAAATAGAATTGTTTTACTTTTAAAGGGTACAACATGGCTATCAGTACCAATTGTGTCAAGGTTATTCCAAGTACTTTATCTTGAGCTTTCTTTAGCCATGGAAATGTATTGTGGCTGCAGCCAATATAAACAATTTGGGGGGGGGGTCTTTTTCTTATTGCTTCTTTCAACCATTGCAAGGACATTGTAAATAATTTGTTTTAATGGAAGAAGCTGGTACATAATGACTACCTTTCAAATGCCTAACTTAATGAGTTCACAATTTTTTAAATAGAAACTGTCATTTGGTGGTAACAAGGAAATATAAAAAGTTGCAATCTCTGATTCTAATACTTCTCATTCTGAATTTCAGGATGTTTAAAAGAAAGCATTATCTTAGCTTTTCAGTAGGAATTTGAGATAACCAACCTATTCCAATTGATAGGAAAAAGTGCTGTATAGAGAATGTCAGCCGATAAAGCAAAAAGGATGATAGATGTTTTTAAGCCCACCATTTACCATCTTGCACCATTATTTTTAATTAATGAAATTAATTGATTCAGTCAAGAATCTCCCAACAAATACTAAAATTCCTAAATGAGTAGTTGATAGGGAACTATGCCTTCAGCTTCTTCAAGAGGTAAATACTGTAGATTTGGAGGCACGGTTGTACCTGTGGTACACATTCACCAAGGCAAAAGGGCACATCTCTTTACAATGGAGTCACCTGGCTATTGTTAACCACTTGGAGAAGCCCAGTATTACGTATGAAGATGTCTTGCAAAAAATGTTGACCCTGAAACGAATCGTACCTTTAGCTCTAACGTCCACTTTATACAAAATAAAGGAAAAAAAGAAAGCAATCAGTGTCTTTAAAAAGGCAATCATGTGTGTGCTTTGGGACATATACAAGCATACATGCACACACACTGGAGGAGGTGCTATCATAGGTTGAAAGTCTTAAAAAGACAAACTAATAATATGCCTTTGAAAAACTGGAGAACACTTTGGACAGCATGCTAAATTTGTTGGTGTAAGGGTATTTGTAGTTTCATAGGAGAATGGCGTATTTCTTTGAAGTTGCATACTGAAGTATTTAGGGATTAAACTGTCACAATGTCTCTAATTTTCTTTGAAATGTTTCAGCAGGATTGATTGATAGATGGGTAGGTAGATAGCTGGATGAAACAAGTAGACAAAATATTCAGAGTTGTTGAATATAGGTGGTGGGAATATGGGTGTTTATTTTCTCATCCTTTCTACTTCTCTAAATCTTTGAAGTTTTTCTATAAAGCATTGAGAATTTTCTATGCTTCTTCTCAGCTTGGGTTCCCATTTCAGGTGCAGTATGTGATTCAAGGATATCACAAAAGAAGAGAGTATATTGCTGCTTTCCTCAGTCACTTTGGCACGTAAGTTTTTACTTTGTTTAAACCATATGCTAACAATACTCACACTTGCTGGTGACTCTGACCAGTAGATTTGGTTAAGAAAATAGCACCGAGTTCTTACTTATGATACTTTATGGTATTTTGTTTATTCTAGAGCCCCCAGAATTACTTTTTAAAAACTCAACTGTTTTTTGGTAGTACTCAGGGCCTTGTACTTCCTGGTTCTCTACTCCATGAGCAACCTACACCATCTACTGCCCTTCTTACCCCACTTTCTCTACTTTTTTTGCCGCAACTGGGTTTGAACTCAAGATACTGTACAAGTTCAGTTTGCTCACTCTGCTAGTTGAATCATAACTGTAGCTCAGCTTTATGCTAATATTTTGGTGATAGGCTCTTTCAGACTTTCAGCCCAGGCTGACTTTAAACCATATTCCTCCTTCTTGAGTAGCTAGGATTTACAGGCATCAGCTACCAACACCAAACCATTTGTTGTTGTTGCATTCTTTAACAATTAACAGAAGCAAATATTCTCTTAGAGAGGCAGCATGCCTTGCCCAGCCACAGAAACCTTGGTAATAATGACTCCTATGGCACCAGGGAAGTGACCCCTGACCACTGAGCTTTGTGCTGCCTGCAAAGTGTTTTATTTCCATCATCTTCTAGTGTAGTCATGAGATGAGGCTGGCAGGAAATTCTGCTCCCTTTTTTCAGATATCCCTAAGACTGTGGGAAGTTCATTGACTCAATAGAAGTCACACACTTAGAAAAAAAGATAGCCAGAGCTGGAACTCCATGTCTCTAGGATTCAGGTCTCCTGACAGGATTTTACCACCAACACTGCCTCATGGTTTGGGGGGGAGGGGGCGGGAATCTAATATTAGACCCAAAAGTGGTGACTCATACTTGAGAGAAGGAGTGGAACTTGGTGCCAGGAGGGAATTGGAAAGCATGGAGCTGTGGCCATGCCATGGAGGGAGCATGGGTGGTTCTTGCCTGCTCCCTTACCAATCAGGAGCTGTTGTCTCTGACACCCTGTTTGAACTCACCTATGACATGGCTACTTCACCCTTCACCGAGAGGACAGGGTATGGGGGCAGTGCGGGCGGGGAGGGGGGGGCAACCAAAGGATTTTACATACTTTGGAAGAAAAGTAATACTAATCCCAAATATAGTCATTTTTTCTCATGACTGCAAGCACCCGGGGGCACTGAGGCATTATTTAGATGGATGGTGACATTGGGCTTTGTAGTATTGTTGCTGATCTTGTTTCTTAATTTCTCCTTTTACTCATAACTCATAACTAATGCTTCCATTTTATGGTTTGCCTTGTTTTCTCATAACCCTGAGAGGAAGTTTACTAATACTGCATTTGCTTGACAGATGAGGAAGCCTCTGTTTCCTCATTTCATTCGAAGATTAAATGATTTGCCAGAGGTCATAATAGCACATTTCAAAGCTGTGACTTAAACCTAGATGCTTTCATTCCAAACCTCATGCCCTCCCTGACCCTCACCTGCCTGAAATCTATTTGAGGTTCAACAGCTCTGACCTTATGAATAGAGTCGTAACTTGGGCCTGTCTCTTTTAGATCTTATTTTGATGAGGGTTTTCTGTTTGTGTATGTTTTTGTTACTTAGAGGTGTCGTGGAATATGATGCAGAAGGCTTTACAAAACTCACTCTGCTGCTCATGTGGAAAGACTTTTGTTTTCTTGTACACAGTGAGTATCCTTTTGCTATCAACATCAGCACGCATTTAAAACTGTTACAAATGACATGGAGTAATCAGTATGTGAGCTTTGAGAGACCTGGTTCTAGCATGTGTGCATTTATTGTGTGATGGGAAAACCAGAATATCTGTAAACCTTAATCACTAGGATGATTTTGCCCCTCAGGGAATAGCTAGCAATGTCTGGTGACATTTCGGGTTGTCACAGTGAGAGAGAGGAATCATTATTGGCATCTAGTGGGTAGAGGCAATGCAACAAAATGACCAAGTTCCCCTACCAGGACAACCCCTCTTAACAGGAAATTATTGAGTCCATGGTGTCAGTGTCTCCAGGCCAGAGCAGCCTTGCCTTAGACAGATTTCTTTTTCAAAGTCTCTTTCCCATATGAGATCTCAAAACTTTTGATCATTTGGTTTTCTTTTTTCGGAAGTTTAGCACGCAGTTTTAGAGCTTCAGAGACCATATCCATGGCCCTATCTGTGTAGAACCCTTAGCTGGGTCACAGTATAGCAGACAAACAGAACCAGTTACATGCAGAAGAGTCCAATTGCATTGGGTGGCTTGGCTTTATAAAAGCCCATTCCTGTGGGAATTACATTAATCTGCCCCCAAAGCAGTGCCTTCAGTGCCATAACCATGTTCTACTAGGCTTTACCTCCTAAAGATTCTACTACTACTTACTTCTTAATACTGCCACACTAGGCCCAAACTTCTAGCATAGCAGCCCTTGGGGGACATAGCCACATTCTAGCAGAGCTGCTAGGAGATTACGACTTGCAGTGATGCTCAGGAATAAAACATCATCCACGTCCCAGCTCCTGCCGACCCTCTTGTGAGCATATTCAGTGTGCATAGTTTGCTGTTGCTTTTAAATGTCTACAAAATATTCTCTATGACATTGTATAACCACAACTTCCTACCACTCCTTCTTTACGTCACTGTCTTAGCTTTACCAAGTCAGACATGTGAAATTGAGTCCCAGTGAAATTTTTCACTTCACTTTGAATTCCCTTCTTCAGAAACACAGAACCCTAGGCATTCCTTTAGAACAGCTACAAAGGGACCTTGGGTTTAATTTACTTTTCCAGAATGTTTCTAAGATTGTCATTTCTTTCCTCCCCAGGCTGTTTGCTCCCTTGTCCCTTCATGTCACTGCTACACTCTTGGCAGATAAGAACATGGCTGTGAATCAAGGGACTTAGATATATTTCCTGCTCCATCATTCACTCACAACTTGTCCTTAAACACATTATTTCCACCCTTTTGCTCCTTCTTTATCTAAAACGTAGGACTTGCTACATCAGAGCAAAGCTTGCTTAGATAATATGTTTTCTTCAGTCAGGCAGTTCTGCATCTGACACTTACCTTCCTTTAGAAGCATCTGCTTGCTTGGCTACAACACCCAAGGGACCATTTGTTCCTTTTTTCCTTCCATAAAGATGGGGAGTTGAACACAGGGTGGCAGGGACATGACAAAGAACACTGCAATGAATTATTCTGGGATCTCAAGATGTGAACGAGGAGGAAGGAAGTGCCTGGAGATGGAGCCAGTCTTCTGTGGGTGGCTCCACCATTTTCTGGAGGTTGAAGACCTAACAGGACATGAAATAGCATTCCTGCTCCCCCTCGCTCTGCATTCTTTCTGGGCAAGCAGGATAGTGTCAGCAGAATAGGTGCTAGTGGGTGACTCTGTTTTGGGTGTTAGAGGAAAGAGGCAGACATCTCTGATCCCTTCCTATGGGAGAGTACAGAAGTGAGATCCCTGCAGGGAAAGACATGGTCTATGTTCTGGGATCCCACGGGAATGACAGTTTCAGGAGTGGAACTGTAGGCCAGAGTGTGGCGATGGCACTTTCCTTTTCCTTATTATGTCTTTCCTTCCTGCATTTATCATCAGTTACTGAAATGACAACAGAATCAGAAACTTTCCCATTCAGAAATGTTTTAGGAAGGTTTTGTGGATGTGATCTAAGTAGTGTCCATTAGCTCTAGAGAAAGAAATTCCATATTTGCCGAATTGTTCTTACCATTAGTGGTAGATGTCTTCAAGCCAGTAGCTTTTCAGGCAAAGAATAGACACAAGAGCAGGCCTTGGGGAAGTGATGCACTCCTCTCTTCCTGGGCCCCACTGAGCACGCTGTAAGTAGACAAAGGAAGACACAGGCTGTGTGTAGTAGCACAGTTGCTACTACACACAGTAGTAGGGAGAGAAGGGGAGAACATTGAGATCCTCAACTTCTAAAACAATAGGCAAGTCTTGTGACTGTGACCTATAAATCACTGGGTCATCCCACATGGAGCTTAGGGCATGTCTTCCTAACAAATGCCTATCAGACCAAACCTGCCCATTTTGCTGTACCTTTATGTGCAATCAATTGACCTGAGCTCTTGAGTTCAGTGAGATAAAATTTTAAGTTTAATCTTAAGACTCTTGCAGAACTGTAGCAGGAGTTGGAAAAATGAAGTCCGGAGGCCAAATCCCACCATCAGCCTGTTTCAATATGGTTCTCAAGCTAGGAATAGTGTTTACATTTTTAAAGGGTAACAAAAGAAATAATGTGCAGAGATGATGTACATTGTAGGCCTACAAAGCCAAAAATAGTCATCATTTGGCCCTTTCAACCCTTGGTCTAGATGAGAAAGGACAGCAAGTAAAATTGAAGTAGAATGGTATGATTCAATTATTGTGGCTGTGGCAAGGGGGTGCTGGTGGGTGGGGGTGGAATCTGACGTGAGACATGTTTTGTTCAGGGCTGGTGAGCAAACCCAGGGCCTGCTATATGCATGGTAGGCAGTTACTCTACTTCTGAGCAACATCCTTGGTTTTTTGTTGTTGTTGTTGTTGAGATAGGCTCTTCATATGTACCTTAGGCTGTCCTTGAATTTGCTGTTGAGAACAGGATGGCCTTGAACTTGCCATCCTTCTACCTCAGCCTCCTGAGTTACTGAGATTACAGGTGTATACCTACAGGCTTGGGTGTGGTATGCATTTTAAAAACAAATACCAGCCAGGCACTTGGTGACTCACACTTGTAATCCTAGCTACTCAGGACGCTGAGATATGAGGATTGTGGTTCGAAGCCAGCCTGGACAGAAAAGTCCATGAAACTCTTATCTCCAGTAAACTAATTGGAAAAGGCCAGAAATGGGCTGTGGCTCAAGTGGTAGAGTGCTAGCTTTGAGCACAAAGAGGCTCAAGGGTAGCACCTAGGCCCAGAGTTTAAGTCCCACGATTGGCAAAAACAAAAACAAAAAAATCTTGTTATATCCTATTATATATACAAGGGATATATGAAAGAAAATGATTCTAGTTTTATATTACATATATAATTATGTTAACATATGTACATATGAATGTTGTTGGTTGTGGGGCTTGAACTCTGGGCTTGGGCGCTATCCCTGCACTCTTCAGCTCAAGGCGAGTGCTCTACTGCTTGAGCCACAGCCCCACTTCCAGTTTTCAAGTGGTTTATTGGAGATAAGAGTCTCACTGCCTGGGCTGGCTTTGAACCATGATCTTCCATCTCAGCCTCCAGAGTAGCTAGGATTACAGGTGTGAGCTACCGGCACCTGGCAACCTCTCTTAAATGGAGAGATGGATAATAAAGAAGTAAATGAGCAAATGCATAAATCTCAAATGGCGTCAGTGCTGTGATGGAGCAGAGCAGAGGGCTGTGCTAGATACCAAGGAGCCGCTGGTAGTGTGGATGGGGAGGAGACATCCAGCGCTGAGGCAGGCTGGGTGGGCGGGGCAGGCTGGGCACAGTCAGCAGTGGGAGAGTCAGATGTTGATTTGTTGGGGAGGTTGCTTCATTTTTTTTTTAAATTACTTTCTTCATGATTTGTTTTTGAGACTGTACTATGGATCTTTAACTTGACCCAATCTACTTCAAGTTAGTTGTGACTTAATTCTGATAAAAGGTTAACAACTGTACTCCTATGCTTCCTCTTTGTTTTTGCTACTAACTGCTATACATGTTACATTGATGTATGAAATACTATATTTAACACACTATAGCTGTCTACCATTGCTATAAACTATCATAGATTTTAAAGGAAAGAGAAAAGCAATTCTCTTGTGAATGGCCCTGCTGCTGTTTCTGGGGTACCTTTGCTGGCTTGGACTGCTATGGTACTCCATTTTACCATTGTCATGGGGGGTGGAGGGGTGGCAGGTTTGCTGAATCTAAAGAATGATGTGTTTGGACTAGGAAGGTGGCTCAGTGGTAGAGCGCGTGCCTTGCATGCATGAGGCCCTGGGTTCGATCCTTAGCACCACATAAGCAGAAAAAAAAAAAGCCGGAAGTGGCTCTGTGGCTCAAGTGGTAGAGCACTAGCCTTGAGCTGAAGAGCTGAGGGACAGCACCCAGGCCCGGAGTTCAGTCCCATGACCAGACCCCCCAAAAAAAAAAAAAGAAGAAAAATGATAGGTTTCTCTCTTTTTAAAAAATTTTTATTTTAATGATTAATGCTGGCATGAATTTCTTAATATTCTTTCTGTGTCTTTATTTCTGTGTTCATTCATTCATTAGATTTACATGTTCAGTAAGTACAGAAAACAGTTATTTTTCTTCATCAGTGGGATGTTTCTAATAAAATTCTAACTTTCAATTTTTCAAGTGAGAAAAAATTAACATTTGAATCTTAAGGCCAATAAGTTAGAAAGCAGGACATCTTTTGAAAGGCTTGGTTTGGTGGCTACAGATACTTCAGCTCTGATTAAATCAAGCAGCCTGCTGCTTCCTTGTCTCTTACACAGGAAATGATTTATGTAGATGTTCCACTATTGCCTCACCACAGAGGCAAAGCCACCACAGCAGCCACTCTGTTCATGAGCCAAGTGATGAGATTCCCATATTCCTCCATAGAAAAAGTGATCTGCCTGGCGCTGGTGGCTCATGCCTGTAATAGCCACTCAGGAGGCTGAGATCTGTAGTTCAAAGCCAGCCTGGGCAGGAAAGCCTGTGAAACTTTTAGAATCTCGTGGTTGT